TAGCTTTTGTACCGAACTGTATTTTTGTTTGCATTACATTGGTTTTCAAATATTTCTAAATAAATTTCGTTTGTCAAAGAGTGTTACAGATATTCTAATAATGTTTGGATCGATTTGAAATTTTTCTCAAAAAATGTATCTGTCGGTGATATTTTTTAGTACACAACAAAAAGGGGCGTATTATATCGCCGTCAGTGCGTCTGTAAATTAAATTCAAATTTATCGAGATCCGACATTTTGATAATTTATTAATATTGACCCAAGTTTCTGGGTAGCTCCCATATAACGGTACCCCCAATATTCGGTATTTAGGGGATTTGAACACGTTTTTCAACCAAATTGGCTGCAATTCTCATTTAAAGTCCGATAATAACACGAGTTTTCTCCTAGGAGCCCCCATTAAGTTTATATTTTGAATTTCATCCGCATGTATGAACAAAATAACTTCGTTGTAACTTGTTCAGTATTGTCTTAATTTTATAAACGTCTTTCGAAGTGTCGCGATCGTATTGATAAAAAATTTCCAAATTAATAAAGTACTCGTCGTAGGATTCCCACAAAACATCGTCATCTTAATGTTTAGTTTCCGTCGTTTTTGCATATTCCCATGTAAGGTTATTTTTTTCTTAGTTCTTGAGTTGTTTTTTGTCGCCAGGTGTTTCCATGTCGTCCTCGATTTCGTTATCCTACGGGTTTCCATTCATGTCCCATTCTGTTTATGTTATGGATATTGCTTCTTAACCAATCCATCTACATTTTCTATGTTAAATCTGCTTTTGTATGGATTCGTTAAGTTCCGCAGCTCCATGGAATTTATGGTGTTGTCCCAAAATATCCTACATATGATCCTGAGGCATTTTTCGTTAGAGACAACCCTAATTTCACTGCTGTATGGCAGAATCGAGTTATATATATGCTTCGAATATTTTAAGTTTAGCTTTCCTGGAAAAATGTGAGTATATCTATACATCTTGAAGGAATGCTGCTCTCGTTTTTGTTAGCATATTGATTACATCCATTTCTGCACCATCACTTGTTGTTACAGTGCATACTACATAGCAGAAGCTATATTCATTTGCTTAGACTTGATGTTGTTAATTTTGATGGCTACAGTTATCTTGATTTTATTCTCAGATCCAACATTGCGAGCCAGTCTATCCAGGTCTTCTAATTTATATTTTGTGCATTAACAACACATACAAAAATGCAGATAATGTACAAATAATTTGAATTATGGCTGTTAATTCAATTAAGGCTGTCTAGGCTAGAAGTCTTCGAGCTGTCTTGAGAGACACCATGTTATGCCACTTCTCTTAGAGCGGACTTTATTCATTATTTCATCCAGTACTGTGCCCTAACATCCGTGTTTTACTTCCGAGTTGGTGCGAAACGATTGGCTTATGTTGCTTTTATTATTCGGAGGTAATCCCTTTTTGATCAATGCTTTCTATATGACAGTTCCTCTGGTGGTATTGAAAACTTCCTTCAAAGTCCATGAACATTAGATACAGCGGAGTGCGCAATTATATAGATTATTCGATTATAACTTGTAGGGTGTTGGCCTGATCCACACATCTTCTCTTTGGTCTGAAGCCAGCTTGTGCATCTCTCAAAATGTGTTGTACTTAAATTGTGGCTTTGAATTCTTTTCTGTATAATGATTGCCAGGATTTTGTATATGGTGTTGGATTGGGTTATTCCCTTCCAGTTGTTACAACCTTTCATGTTCCCATTTTTGGGTAACTTTGTATTCGCTCGCCTATAAGGAAGACTTCATTTTGCTCATTTTCCCATTAACATTGGTACAAATATTTGTTTTTGCTTGTCCATCACAATGAAACCTCATCACATTTCGCACGTTTATAAAGATAATCCCTTTAAATCTTTTATTGTGAAAATTTTCAAAAACATTTTTTGTCGAGCAACATATCTTTTTTAAATCCGTTGCCTTTCAACTGATTTATTATGAACTTTGGCAATATAAATTTTGATTTTCTGATTAGGTCTCTGATGTATGGATTGCGTGTAAAGTTTGTTGTGACATTTTCATAATTTTCTCACACACCATTAAACCTTGAACGAATGATTTCGAGAACTACATTTGTGTGAATGAATGAAGAAGTAGAAAATCAAAAATCACACAGTCAGATATACATATATGAGCTATAGAGAAGGAGGTAAAGATTGGAGGACAAAACTCACAGATACAAATACAAATCATAATTATATTATGGTGACAATATAGTGTTCTTTTAGTTCCCGCCACATACCACGGGGGTCCCATCCATAATGAACTGAAGAATTTTTTCTTGTTTGCATTTTTTTTTTTTTTGTTTTCAGCCGGTTCTGCAAATATATGTGGCGAAGAAGAGGGGAGCAATCTTCCTCCTCCCCACCCCTTCTTCTTTGTTCCAAAGAGTGCAAACCATAATAGAGGGTCGGAACACAAAGTTAAGTGATTTTTGTTTCTTGTTGCAGAATGCACTTGCATGCAACTCTTATATCTATGATGGTCATATGTTTGTGTTAATGTGTGCACCACGCCGATAAGCAACGAACAGAGTCAAAACAAAAAAAAAAAAAATGATGTGAACTAGTGGCGGGAAGGTTGTTTTGTCGATATATAGGTGTTTATTATACACATGCATTCACATGCACATGTACATTGCCTTTGAGCTGCACTTGTTGTTCTTAATCAGTTGAAATTCAATTTGCATTGCTTTTCTGTCTGTCCGTCCGTTAGTCTGCTTTCTGATGGGGGTTTCAGTGCATTCCTCTGTCGTTCATTTGTCCTCATCATACAAAGATATGTACATATTTATTTGTTTTTATCCGCTGTCGTTATAGATAGTTTTATTTTTTGTCTTTGAATCTGTCGTCTTTTACACAATATGCCTTCTACGTACATATGTATGTATGTGTATTTATATATGATTTTCATTTAAATTACACTAATTCTTTTTTGTCACTGCAACATTTGTCTCCGATTTTGTTTTTGATGCTCATTTTTGTCATGCATTGGCGGCTAAATTTGTGAAACACAGTGATGAATTTACCATTAAAATAAAATTTAACACTTATTTCCACCTAACAAAGGTTTTTATACAGGCGTTAAAAAATTCCCTCCCAGAGATTTTCCCATCTTATTTGTTTGCACCACTGTGCAAAGGTATAGTACGTATAACAAATGTCATTTTTCCAAAAAGAAAATAATGATAATGATTTATTCGCGTTGCAATTGCTGCAACAGCAGATTAACAACACATGTACCTCGTATGAATTGAATGCAATTGTTGTTGTTGCTGCTGCTGGCAATCGTGTTTGACTTGAACACCACAACAACAACAGGCACACCATACCACATACACCACCACTAGACAAATGTATCACCATGTGTCACTGTCAAACGACATCAGTAGAGAACCAGCAGCAACTGTTCAAAGTAGTTTATTTTGTAACGATGTGAAATTATTTCGCCATGTCTGCAAAAAGCAGAAGCAAAAAAGAAAACCCCAGATTGTAGAAAAACAATTTCAGAACATGAAGTTGCGAATTTTTCCATATTAGTTTGGTGTTCCCACGACTTTAATAATTTGGGGTGTAAATTAATAAAAACAAACCGCCGTATACACTAATTCCTTACATTCATATTATGATGGGTATTGCAGTGGGGACAGGGAAATACATTTCGAAAAAATGTATGTCTAGACTTTCAAACCCTTTTGAACTTTTACAGATTTTAATCAAAACTTTTAGGTTAAAATTCGTAGATTTAATTGATAAACTTAAACATTTCCATTTGAAATTCAAATTAATTCAAACCATTTCTTTTTGAAATTAGAAATAGTAATTTCCAAACGTGAAAACTTCCTTTTGAAAATAGTTTCCCTTTCTCTCCGTTTTTAAAGATAACGAAATTGGAGAATAAAAATTGTACAGCCCACTTTAATATTGTTACAGCTTGGACCGTAATCTAGACATGTAGGAAGGGTTCGGCCCAATGAATACGCCTATTGTTTTTGGTAAAGATCGGTTAATATTTAGGGGATGAAATGGACCAAATACTTAATTTTTGTTGATTTTTCTGGTCGCTAAAGAGGCCGCATTTATGGCCCAAACATCTCGAATTTTTACATGGAGAAGGGTATTGGACCAAAGAATAAGCATGTCTGTTTTGATAAAGATCGGTCAATATTTAGCGGGTCAAATGGACCCTGACTTTTGTGTGAAAAATTACAAAATTTGTATTCTATAGCGTATATATTTACTCCTGAAGGACATAGACCAGAGAAGTTGGCAGTATATCCAAGAGGAGTGGTTGATGAATTGATGCCAATTATATTGTCGTAGGTACTCGGATGCGGGAGTTACACTTAAATATTTACAGGTGCTTACATATTCATATATTATTTAGTAACCTATTACCACACTAGAGGGCGGAAATATAGCGCTGATCGCTTTGAAATGTTCCATGAGGTTCCAGTTATGGTCAAGAACAACGCCTAAAATGTTAGGTGACGATCAGTTATTAATTTTTCGGATGAAGTGGACCGAAAACTTAATTATTTGTACTTTTCGAGTCGAAAGCCGAACATCACAACACAACCCACGGCGAAGGGAATCTGGTCAAGTAATTAGAGGGGCTGTACTGATTATTAGTAACATTTGCTGACCTCTAGCCTTTCAAAAGTGTGCAAATATCGCGAAATATTGCCCAATCTCAGAATATTGAACCACAGAATGTTAGATTTGCATGGAAGTTGTGTAGGGTATCGTATGGTCGGTCCCGTCCGACTATACTGCTCCGCTCACTGGTTAATTTAAATTATGGTGGAGAATATTTTAATTTGAGTCCAATTTTGTTATTCCCATAGGAATTTAACCAAGGCTTTGTCTTAAATATAACAAAAATATATTAAAGCATACTTTTAAGCGCAAATAATTATTTCATATTATTAAAACATATTTACTAATTATTATTTATTTTTTTGTATGTACAGGAAGTTGGCAGTATTATCGGCAAAAAGGGTGAAATTGTTAATAGATTTAGAGAAGAGGTATGTTTCTAGAAAAAAATATCTGATCAATATCATATGTTTTGTATTTGAATACGATAACAAACATCTTTATTTATAGTCTGGCGCCAAAATTAATATATCAGATGGTTCATGTCCGGAACGTATTGTCACGGTGTCTGGTACAACCAGTGCAATCTATTCGGCATTTACCTTAATTACCAAGAAATTTGAAGAGGTAAGTATAATGGAATAAATGCAATAAATGAAATTTAAAAATTACCTATCCTTTTAGTGGTGCTCGCAATTTAACAATGATGTTAATAAAGGTGGTAAAACACAAATACCAATTCGTTTGATTGTGCCTGCCAGTCAATGTGGATCGTTAATTGGTATGTTTATCGTTTAAATTCTTCAATTGATAGAATTGCATTATTAAATATGAAATTCCTTCGCGAACATTCTCTTTAGGCAAAAGTGGTTCAAAAATTAAGGAAATACGCCAGACAACAGGCTGCTCCATTCAGGTAGCCAGTGAAATGTTGCCGAATTCTACTGAACGTGCCGTTACCCTAAGTGGCACAGCCGAACAAATTACCCAATGCATCTATCAGATTTGTCTTGTTATGTTAGAGGTATGTCTGCGTGTGTGTTTAAATAAAGTTTTTTACCATGTAGCTAACTACAACGACAACATATACATATATTTATATTTCTTGTTATAATTACAGTCACCTCCGAGAGGTGCCACCATCCCCTACAGGCCAAAACCACAAGTGTCCGGACCCGTCATCTTGGCTAATGGACAAGCTTTTACCATACAGGGCAATTACGCTGTACCCGCACAAGAGGTAATTTAGCATGTATTTCCTACCATCCTTCTTAACCTGTTTTCCAGTCTGTCAGTCAGAAAATAGTAAAATCTTTTTGCCATCATCCACTACCAACCTACCAACCAAACCACCACTACCACTACGTTTGCTTTATTTTGTACATGATGCCGTCAACATTCCTTTTTTCGACACCTTTTCAAAGTTATTTCTCTCGCTCTCTCTTTTTCTCCTCCTCCTCCCTTTCTCAGTTAACGTTTGTGTTTCGTATAACGACATTTTAATTTCTATAATTCCGCCTCCCACTCCTCCCCCTAAAACTTTTCCATGAATGTTATACATATTCTTCCGTCCCACTTTCTTTCACCGCTACCTTATTAATGCCACAACTCCTTTATTTATCGTCCCTCCGTGGAAGGTTTCGTTGCTTATATGTGATGGAAACAATTATTATTCTATTCCTAGTTGCTTTACCCCTCTATTTCTCTTGAACCCATTTTTTCTTCCCTCGAAAACCAGCGTTAAGTTGTCTACCTTCTCGCACAGATCCATTTTATGAGTTTTATCAACTGTCACAAAGCGTTCTTTAATGTTGTTATATGCATATTTAAAACAAATATATACTTATGTATATAAAATGTATAATCGTGACAAACTGGTTCATGGTAAATATGAATAGCTCCCACTAAAGCTCTCTAGTAAAGTTTGGGCTTTGTTATGTTCCAACGTTACAACACTTTTAAAAAATATTGAAGAAATCTTAGAACTTATAAAAAAACATAAGCAGTTGTTGCAACTGGGAATTTTATCGTAATTGTTGGTTAGGGAGAATTTATTTTGTTGTTGTAACACAAAAGTCAAAGAAATATATATTTATGAAAATACATTTAAACATAATTCTATAGATACAGTTCATTGACGTAGATTTGATTTTAGATGTCCAAATATCTCTATATTCAGATATAATCTATGTATACTTTACGTACCCCAAAATTTGGTCTAATGTAATCTGTCAATGTATTGATTTCACATATTGAGAATTTGTCATAATATTGACAAATCTCCTTAAGTTTCCAATAACTGAAACTATATTAAATAGTCTTGTTTGAATATTCCACAATGGCTGGTTTTGTTTTTGAATATTTCGACGTTCTAGCTTTCTTCCAAATTTCTTGTCGTTCTACAAGAACTCTTTGTGACTGTTTGATAAATCCATTTGACACAAACAAGCATTCTTAAAAACAAAAACTATTTGGTCCCCCAATCGAAGACAGCGTAGAAATCAATAGTTTCAAGTTTAGCTTTCCTTTGTAGCGACTTTTTGTTGTTTCTTTAGTAAAACTACCAGTTCACCGTCACCAAATCCGATCCTGTTTTAATAACCAATTATTGTTTATATATGATATCCAAACTCTAGAACCCTTTCTCTCGTCAAATGAACTATTATTCTCTTCGCTCCACATGTTTTGTTATCGTTGATGTACTGATTTTATTTTTGAGTTTATTTATTTTATTTTCTCTGCACTTTTTCTCTTAGGTTAAGTTTTACAAGAGTATAAGAAAAACAATATGTATTTTATGATATTAATGGGTAATAATACGATGACATGTCAAGGTCTATTCTCTAAAACAACGGCATAGAATTCTGAGTTCCCTGATCTGCTGTGAGAGCATAAGGCTTGACTCACGTCAATAATATGATTATAAACACACTGTCTTAAGGCTCCACTACTACTATCATCACTACAATTCAACTACTACTACTGACAGCTTCATATGTTGTGGGCTTTGATAAAATAAAAATGGCCAACATTTTAAACGCTAGGATGCGAGGGCTCGTGTGCAGTTGCTAAACGTAGGTTTATTACAAGTTTTACACTTAAACTTATTACGTTTGTATTTTAAAGAAACCAATGAAACAAATAAAAACCAAATTCTCTCCAACATATAGTAAATTTAAAATAATAATTTCTGTGACACCACCTCCACAACCACCATCCATCCGCCACCACTTCCAAACTTTCAAGTTCAGTATAATTAATAAAAAATCAGAGATATAATGAATCCTATGTGAAAACATACTTTATACCCCTCATCGTTTTCGTATGTAAGTCCCCTTCTCTCTTTCTCTATTTCGTTTAAGCAATTAAACTAAAATATCAGACAATACAAACTTACCATTAATAATTTTAAAAGTATGGTAAATTGTGTTTCAACAGATTTTGGTTTTGTTAATTTCGTACTTACCAATACAACTACCAAGAACACCGTCACCACCAATACCACTATTACTCGTTCATACAACATAGATTTGGAAAAAACAGCAACAACAATCAGAAATAAACAAAATCATAATTAAATGTTTATTCAAAATTAGATTAATATATCACAAAGTTGTTGATATAGAGGAAAGGTTGGTTGGTGTTAACTGAAAAATGCACGAAGGGCAGAATTTTCAAAAAATGTAATGGATTTTCTGTCGTTGGTACAATTTTGCTAAGCCCTTTGCTCTATGTCACATCAATTAACCACTGTATCAATATCAATGGAAGTTTATTATTTTTAGTTTTAAAAACATGAATTTCTTCTTGTGTATTTTGTTCGATAATTTTTGTGAACTCAGATTAGTGCTTCCCACATAGCATAATAAAAAAATCATCTCCTTTAATATGCAAATTCCAAAAAAATAAATAAAATAAACTAAGCAAAATAATAGTTTTGTCAACGTTAATTTTGTGTACATTATTCTAAAATCAAAACGTCTCAGTTCAAATCCCTCTGCCCGAGCCCTCACATCTCTCTATATTTTTACTTTATACCAAATATTATATATATATGAATCGCTCTATCTATTTTCTTGTACCCCTCGCTAATATCAAGTATAATTAAAATTTAACCGAAAATCCAAAACTCATATCGTTTAATCTATATTTTTTCATTACAAATAAAAAAAGCATACACAATCATTTCAGAATCATTGCTCTTAAGTGATATATAACTATATGTTTTGAAAGCAAACAAATACCGCCCATAAATGTGAAATTAGTATTTACACACGGCACTTGTAGTATGTGTCACATTGTGGTGTATCACCTTCGAATCATTATTTGAGTTAATTATATTTTCTTGACCTTTTAAAAGCGACTATCCACCATCGTTCGTCGATATCATTTCACATGTCCATTGTTGTAATATGCCCTTTGGGTTTTGCATTTGGTAAACCAAATGGAAAATTAATTATAACTCCTGACATAGTTTCATTTATTAAACAACACAATTTTCCCCAAGCTGTTCAATATTCTCCCATCATTTGTAACCTGTTAGGTAGGAAATAACTATGAACTAAGGGGAAGCACTTGTAATAGCCACCTTTGCACTATATAATAATCTCATAATTGATTCATGTGCAAATATTTTACATAAAATAATTACATTTTGAAAGCTATAAAATTGAACTATTTCTTTAAATTTGAATATAATAAATAGTAACAGAAAATGACAGAAATAGTATATATCTTAATTTATCTTAAAATATATATTTTCAATTTATAGGATTGTTACGATGTTTCAGTAAAAATTGACATAAATACGCAAATTTTGCATCTAGTCGAATCTATATATGCCCACACTTTCCAGAGAAAATGTGAATATAAACTGGCAATTCCAGAGATTTGTCTACGTCAATTGAAAATAAGTAAAAAGACGTTTATACCCTCTACAATGAGAAATACATAAACTATAGAAAATTTTCAACATTATTGTAACCTCAACTCAAATCAGTGTTTTTAAGTGTCGATAACAAAGGTAAATTTTATGAAACGATTAACAAAAATTGACAATGTTTTGCAAAGAAGTCTCTCAACCATTACAACTGGAAATTTTGAATAAGGTCTTTCGAAACCAAAATGGTTTATAAAATCATAATTAAAGTAAATCCGGTGGCAAAGAGGTTAATGCCGAATGTATGTAGTATATTTGTATCGACATTTCTTTTTATCGTCCTTTAAAATTAAATTAATATTTTAGGGCAATTTTATTGTTTCTGTCATTTCTTGTAAACAATTTTAAACCAAAACGAAAAAGAAACTATTGATACTTTTCATTATAAATGCTTGCACGTATTAATCAATTTGTGGTCTCATATGGCTAAAATATAAATACTCTCACAAACATTACTGTGTTTTTCCTTCATTGTTATTGATTTGCTCGATTTTGTTATTTGAGCTTTTTAATTTTTTTCTATATATATATTCAAAGCAAAACTTTTATTTACATACATTTTTTATTTTTCTTCTACTTTTATTTTTTGTCCAACTTCAATTGAAAACTCTATTTACATATTACAAATAAAAACAACAACAATGAACAACAAATCCAATACATTGTTACTACGCCTCAACATCAATAATATAACCAATGGACAACGATTTGAACTAAAACATAACAACAAACGCCAATAAAACAAACAACAACGTATATTTGAAACACACTCACAACATAAACGAAATTCTAAAATTTCCAAATTGAAAACTATTTACTCGACTGCCTTTTGAACCACTGAAAAAAAAAACGATGACGACAAACTGAACTCAACAACACAAACATTTCCACCTACTGAAACTGCTAATACAACTCCAATCAAATCAAAACAACCTACCACCCTATTACTCTGTCTCTCTATCTCTATCTACTACACAAATTTTAATTGCAAATTCAAAATCAATCTATAAATATATGTACAACTATACACCTCTTTAGACCTGTCCAGTATTTCCACTTGCTTTGGCTACCGGTGGTCTACATGCTGGTATATCGGGTTTAACGGATCCTTTATTAAAGGGCGCACATTTGCAAGGAGCGGTACCAGCACACCATCACCTACAGCAATTGCCCGATGTGAGTTTTGGTTGAAGAAATTGTTTGAACGCATTGAATTGCATTTATTTAATATCCACCATCCACCCCCTCTGTCTTGCTCTCTATTCTTCCACTCTACGTTACAACAACAATATAGAATCCCCTTTACCCCAATAATTGCCAATATACCTCTTATGTCCAGTCTTGCGCCCTTGCATCGACCTGAACACTATTTGTGTGGTCACTCCACCACCCCTCCGCCCAAACCCCTTTTGTACATGCATTGTTTCACTGTAATTCCTCCTTAAAGTTGTAATGAAAAAAGTTTGAATGTTTATGTTGCCCCCATTCTCACCCGATATACCCACCTCACCCCTCCGTAAAACATTGCTGATGTGGTATTAAAATTGTATACAAAATGTAGTTTGGTTTTAGTATTGTTTACCTTTACCTTTCCCCTGCCCTGCATTTCTACATTAAATGTTTGTGTGTTCTGGGGTTGGCATGTAAGCGACACCAAATGATCGCTCCTTTGGTCCATCATGCCATGAGGAGTTTACAGATGTTGTTTTTGTATTACTTCTTTGTTTTCTTTCTTCTTTTTTTTGTAATAAATTAAAGTCTAAGGAAATACTAAAACGCACAACAGAAGTTGACCATTCACATTGGTCATAACTTAAGTGTTGTTCGAAAACTTTGTACTAACAACAGGAGCAGAAAACATACTGTTATTTTGTCTTCAAATATATAAACATTGTTAGGAGGGCGGTTATGTTGTACAATTTCTTTTGCTAAATGTTTGATTTAAATGGAAAAATAAAAAAGTTTTTTTTTTGTAATTTTTGCAGATCCAGGTGTAGAATATTTTGCAACAAAATATGTACATGTTATTTGCAATTCAAAAGTATAAATGTAATGTGGTTAAAATAAATTCACTGAAATGGGCTTAATTTCATAAAAATCGATACTGATGAAGACTTTTTGTATAGAGCAAGCGTGGCACGTTAGGAACTAAATTGAATACATTTGCCACTATTTCAAATGTGTAGACTAAATCTAATGTGTAATCATTTCATTGATCTGCAAGTTTTGAAAAAAATGTTAGTAGATAAAATGCAAAAGTTCTTTCTAAGCTTTTCGATTTGTTAAATTTCCTTAGACTTACATAAACGAAACAACAAAATCTGTAATACAATTCCAATGGCATTTTGTTTTGCTCCCCCACTAATGATTACATAATTGATTTTCTATTGCATGTTTGATTTTGTTTTGTAGTTATAATGAATACATATAGAAATATCTGTACCCTTAGCTCCTCTCCACCAGTTCGATAATTTCAATATAGAGTGCTGTAGGTTATTGGTGTAAAAACGTAATCCCCTTTAAAATGGCCCTTGAATATCTATCCCTTGTCTGCTCGATCTTCTCTATCTTTTCCATTTCTCTCTTGTTAACTATCTCCCCTAGAATGTTGTGTCGAAATTTAGCTGGAAGTTGCTTCTCAAAATGTATCTAACTACTAGTACCTGTACGACCCATTAATTATGATGAACCTTGTATATATCTATATGTATTTGTGTAAATTTATTAATGTTATAATAGTATGTTTTCAAATATCTTCGGTTAATGTGTATATGGTATAACCTACTACTTTGTTGTCCACCTTTTAATCCAAAAACAACTAAAAATATACGTGAAAATGACTTCAGCTGTCAACGCAATCCACAGCACACAACACAAACAATTCAAATAAGAAACACTCACACAAATTTTAATTTTCGTTATATCAAGTTGTTAACGTTTTGTTTTAAAAGTTTGGTTATATTTTGTTAATTTTCTTTTCATGATTTCTATAACGATAAATAGTTCTTAAATATGGAGGTAAACGAGAAAATTAAATTATTTCAATATTGAAGATGGACAAAACATTTTTTTACATATGCTAAAAGTGGAAGAGTTGGAATACAGTAATCAATGCTTTTTTAAATTCAAATCAAATATATACAATAAATGGACTTAAGTAGCATTATTATTTTTGAATTATCTAATTTATTATTCGCAAATGTAATGATACTATTTTGGCACGTATGTCCTTTTTTCTGTACAATATAAACAGGGGAATTTTACTACTACCCATCCAAATATTTCTCACATATCTAACATTTGAATACCAAATACACTTCCGATTCACTGATTGAAGAGAAACATTTTTTATACCTGCGTTCTTAAACATAGGAACATTCGATGAATTTTTAAAAAACAATGAAATGTTTAATTATCGGTTTTTGATATATTAATAAAAGTGCTAAATATTTTCTCCAAGAAATTAATCGACATTTGTGGACTTGATTTTATAGAGTAATTTAGAATTGGTCAATGGAATATTTCTTCTCCTTAAATTCTTAGTTTTCTGAATTGTACATAAAATTCTTCGTCCTGATATATGACAATCCAACTAATTTGTACTTAATAATTAACTAAAGTGTATATGCTTATGATGTCTCTAAACAGTTCTCAAAACTGAGCATACATTAAAAATTCCAAGCCAAAAAATAAGCGAACTAGAAAATAATATACTATGAAACATTACGAATATCTCAAACCCCATTTAAAAATTTTACAAACATGATGAAATTTGATAAATAGTTTACCTCATATTTCTGAACACCATGCTTTCATTACAAAAAAAAAAAAAAAAAAAAACAAATAAATAAATAAAAAGTAAAGAGTATTAAATTGTATATGTTGTATAAAAATCCTATTTAAATTTGCATTATATATTTATCTCTTTTTCAATCCATTATCACTGTTTATTGTTGTCATTTCTGTGTTCAGTTATGGTTTTGTTGATTTGAAATCATTTATAAAATTTATTGATTTCCTCTATGACTTTTTACATAAACTAATCATTACATTTATCCCACCTGTATCTTCCTTTCCTATTTTTCTCTTCACCAATAGGTGGCTAAGAATCCGTTGGCCAGCTTGGCAGCTTTGGGTTTGGCTGGTATGGCACCAGCCAATACTGGTGGTCTTAATCCAACAGGTGAGTAGAAATGGAATGACCCAATAAATGCTAGAATGTCTACAACATTTGTATGTGTAATTTTTCTCCAAATGCAGCTTTGGCTGCCTTGGCTGGTTCTCAATTGCGTACAGCAAATACAAATCGTGCTCAACAGCAGCAACACGAGATGACCGTTTCAAATGATTTGATTGGATGCATTATCGGCAAGGGTGGTACTAAAATTGCCGAAATTCGTCAAATTTCCGGTGCAATGATACGCATTTCGAATTGTGAAGAACGTGAGGGCGGCAATACTGATCGTACCATCACCATAAGTGGCAATCCAGATTCTGTGGCTCTGGCACAATACTTAATTAATATGAGGTAAGTGAGAAATTTTAATATGTTTATCTATGTCATTTTGTTTTGCACTATGTTAATAATTGGAGAACTGAACATCATCAACGTGGCAATAAGCTGCAAGAATCGAGACAAACTAAAGTCTATTCTTTATAATAGTCTTTTATAGGATAACTCGTACTCTTATGAAATATCTGTAATTTCCTATTTTATTAATTGGCTCACAATGATATACAAAATATCTCCTGGAACAACAGACTTTTGAGCTGTCTAACCGCCAGGCTGAGAATAACGTGATTAAAATCGTTTCGGAAGAAAAATAAAATCCGTATATACTGTATAAGGTTAGGCTATTGAAAAAAAAAACAAATGTCTTCCAAACGAGGTTTCGTTGGACATTAAAAATGAAGTAAGGTATTGCCAGTTTATGATGTTCACTTTTTAATGTAAATCAAACGCAGCTAGATTTTTGTTATCTGTATGCGTGTTTTTTAATAATAACAATATTCAATACAATCTGTTATGTGAGTTTACTTTGTTAACCAATCTTGTACATATTTTTGTTAATTTCTTTATGTGCGTACCTAACTAATTCGTTTTTTTATGAATGTGTTTGTAGTAGTGTGAAATTTTGTCGAATTGATTTGAATCCAAATGAGAGTAAAACAAATGGTAACAACATTTGTTGTCTATTTTAAATCTGAGATCTGAGATAATACCGATGATCTTTATTATCAGAAGTAAATTTGGTCACATAAGGAGAGGAGGATCTTTGTTTTTAAAGTCTTACGTAGCAGATTCTGAAATGTATTTTATTGTAGAAGTAAGCGTTCAATATAAGAAGTATATTTTTATATGCCACTATGAAAGCACAGCTCCTGTGTACATTTTCTTAAACTACTACTACTATAATATTTGTATTTTTTATTATTATTCACCTTTGACGAATCACTTAAAATTCATGTTTACCACCTCTTTTGACCAACAATATATCCACCCAAAAACCATACGTTAATAGACACGCTCGCAATGTGGTGTTCTATACAATTCCATCCAAATCTTCCCCCTTAACCCCTGTTCACCATGATGCCCCCCGATCATTGTTTTTTTATTTATTACCAAACAATATATGAATATAAAATTTTCAGAGATTTTCAGATCCCCGAACACCCATATATTCAAATGGGTTAACTTATAATACTTGTTGATATATACATAATTGTTATAAACAAACTGTAACAACTGTATTATTTATGATATGGATATGGATATATGAAAATAATTGATTACTTCTATTGGTTAGTTTTTAAGTCTTATTTTATAGCAAACTATTTGATTATTTGTTGTAATCTCAGTATGGAAGGAAGAACATGAAGGAGAAAAGGGATTATGAAAACACAGAAAAAGAAAAGCACTGGCCAACACTATATTTGTCTGGTAATTGGAGATGAATGACGACGTTAATCCCTATCAATTCCCAAAAATCAATTCTTTAGAATTTAACCACCCTCGGTATGACCCGAATATACAAAAAGTGTCCATTTTCATTTGACTGCATCATGAAAAATAAAACGAAGTTAAATTTGTGTATTTTTGTTTTGAAATTGTGATTTTTTTGGTATAAATTTCTTATATTTTTATGTGAACTTTACAGAAAATAAAAATCAGTTGAAAGCTGACAATTAATTTATCGCGTTAGATTTTTCTTATATATTAGATTTTTATTTTATTTTTATGTGAACATAAAATACAGAAAATGAAATTGCAGTAAAAAATTCTATCGCGTTAGATTTTTTTTATATATTAGTTTAATGTTAAATGTATCATTAATGAGTAGTTTACGGGGAGGAAACTATACATTATTTTAACATTTTGATTGAAGAAAATTTACATGAATACAGCGCATATTCCACATAAGAAGTATTTTTTTACAAGAAAACGTATTAGAATTCCAGAATTAAGATAAGGGAAACCTAAAGTTAATATTCTGGCCATTTTTTAATTCATTTAAATAAACGAGTCAAGTAATTATTATTTTGTTTTAATATACCAGTGTCTATTAGACAAATATATATCTTCAAATATTTTTAAATCACTACTGAGAAGGGAATGGACATTTTTCTTAAAGTTTTACATTTTGTATAGTCGCGAAATATACTAGTAAATTTAAGGTTGGGATTTCTAACCACGCATATACACAATTTTTTTCTTTGATTCTTTAAATATAAGTTGACAATTAAAAATGTTGTCTTCTGTAAATGAGAAAAGATGTAGATTCCAAATATTAAAATTACAGTCCAATTATGTAGTATCAATAACAATTAATGTTAGGAAAAATATAAATGCCTAAACTTTTTATTTGTATTCGAAGATTGCGGTAACTGCTCTCCGCCGTTTATTAGATTCATGTTAGAAATATGAAATCTATTTAACTTCGTTTTTATTCAATATGCATTCAAATGCTTCTTTGGCCAAACTCTACTATATTCCCCATTGTAAAGAGAACGCTTTCCAATATATCAACTTTTTTGAAATATTCAAAAACCAATCCCCCTATAATATCCACCAAAATCCATCCCTCCTTAACCATTTGAAACAATGAAAATGAAAAAAAAAATTAAACCTCAACTCAATTCCGCAAAATCATTTGTCAGTGATAGTGAAAAAGAATTAACCATCACTACAAGTAAACCTAATCATCACCATAAACAGCAACAACAACAATATCCTATTTTTCCTTTTCTCTTTCTCTCTCTCTTTATCCCTTTTATAGCGTCGAATTGCAGATGGCCAATCTCCAAGAGGCAAATAATACTGCTGCCATAGCAAATGGTACAACAGCAACGGCTAACGGAGGACAGACAAATAGTAACAGCCAAACAAATAATAGTAATGGCAACAGCACCACAGCCACCACCAACACCACAACCACTACAACCAACAACAGCAACACTTTTAATACAACAAACACAAACAGTTCAGCAGCATTAGTAGCTACTTTAAGTAACAATACAACAAACAATAATAATAACAACACAAATACAACCACAACAACAGCAACCAATGACACAACAACAACAAGTGTTTTGAATTCCGCCAATCCATTGGCAGCCGCTGCCAGCTCATTGGCAACAGCTATACCCTTGGCCCAGTTATTGGCCAAACCGGGAGCCCTTAATGCCCTCACAAGCCTAACCGCTTTAGGCAGTCTGTCCGATTTGTTGGGCGGTCTGGCCACTTTGGGTGGTCCACCGGTTCAGACTACTGGTGTGAATCGTACCAAAAGTTTTGCTTCGTCGCGTTTCCGCAATCATAATGTCGATGGTAGCGCCGAACCTGAAAAGGCTCGCAACAAATTCAATCCCTATTGAAACGATTGAAATGCTTAGGCAACTTCAAAACAAGACGAATGAGTATTAACAATAAAATTGACAAAAATGGGGTTTCTTTTTTTACAAAAAAGCTAAATTCAACCAAAATTTTTCCCAATAAGCTTTAGATTTTTACAAAATTAAAAAGGACTTTACCAAACGTAAACGATAATTAGTTGGCAGATCGATGTTTATCGATTGTCGAATGATAAATTGGCAAATATTTATTGTAATCATATATATTTTATTAAAAAAAAATAACAAATTAAAAAGTAAAGTCTTGCCTGCGACTTTCGATAATGACAACGTTTGGCAAACAAGAAGAAAAAATACGTAGATTATACAATTTTACACAAAACATTGACATTTTCCACTTTATACACTGAAACCCAAACCGATCTACACTCTGTTCCCATTTTCATTCACTGTGTCTCTCACTCTCATTATATTTCCTTTACAAATCATGTAATCAGTTACAAGTAAGAGCATGTTTTCACATGATTATTAACTCTGAATTAAATTCAGGTCTTTTTCTACAAAAGTGTACGACCCGACAAGCTATTGTACTTATTGAGACTATTATCAAGCGCATCTTTGGCAGTATGTAAATATTCAATTCCAATTTCTTTTTATATATTTATAATTATTCTTCTTTTCTAAGTTTATCGAAATTCCATTCCAAAAACATAACGCTTGAAAACAACTAACAAATTGGGTAGTCCCAATTCGGATCGTCAAATGTCATTATTGGGATATATGTGAAAATAATTCTTACTTGAAACTGGATGTACATTATATCTTAGTGCTCTAACACTTCCCATTTATGCGTTTCATTTCTATTCTCTTTTTCTTCTAATCTACTAATAATATTATTCTTAACCATAAGTCTAAAGTACACCAAATGTTTTTTAGTAAAATAGTTGTATGACAAAAAATAAAACACATACAGTTTTTAGATAAATGAATAGTCTAAGAAGGGAAATTTAATAGATGAGCTTTAAAGTAATGGAATGACGACATTCTGGTGTCATCTACCTACAATGTTTTTAATCAACAAACGAAATTTCCTTGCACTTAAACTATTCATTTTGTTAAGCTTTAAACTACTCTCTTATACAGTTTTAGTAGTTATTAAGAAAGTAAAAATAAACCGATGTTATCGGTATTTTGAATAAATAAAAAAGAAAATATGTTATAACAACATATATACAATACAAATACTACATAAGAAGTATATTTATTATATAAAACGTACTCATTTGGAAAATTTTTATTTTTTAAATAATACAAGAACACTACTGAAATTAGTCAATACGGAGATTTTTGTTAATTAATATATATATCTATACATTACTGTAGTAAATGATTGAAGATAAGCTATTTCTTTTAATTATCCATGCAACAAAATATCTAAATTTAACCCAGTGATTTTTGATTTGATAGTAAAAAACATGTTTTTAATTACTTGTATTCCGATGAAAACAATTAACCAACGCAGTTGTCTATTTCCTAGAATGATAGAAATTCAAAATTTGATGTTCAAATTAAAAAAATCCATGTCGAAGTTCTTAGCCAATCTTTGTTCTATTTTTATGTTCCAATGTCATTGAAGAAAGATGTACGAGATATAAAAATTTACAAAAAGGCTTTACAGGCACATTGGCAATGTTTCTACTCTATTTTCCTTTTACCCTTGAATTAGTAATTCAGTAGAAAATCAGAATAAATTAATTTATCATCAGCATTTGGACAACTTAAACTCGTCCAGTTTTCTTAGAATCACAACAAGGAACTGTTTAGAATGTTTTGCAGTATTTTTTAAATACATTTTTTTCATATGAAAACTATAAAAATCTCCACGTGTATTTGATATTGAATTAATGTTGGGTATCACTGTAAACCTGTAAACACTAGTAGTTATTCAAAAAATATAACTACAGAGCCTGAATGTTATTATGCAATACTATATCAAAATGATACCCTTATAATGCGCTCTTTCGCATTTTGGCACACAACATACACATTTGAACAAAACAACAACAAAAACACACGCGTATGTTAAATATGCAATATTTTACTATAATCACTCATTATATTTCCTAATGTGATATTGTGTAAATGCCAATATAAAAATCATTTTTAAAAAATGATATTTTTATTGCTATGATAACATAAAGGTTTAATCAACATATAAAACTGATTTGGACCATTGATGATAATATCTAGATTTTTTGTATAATTATTAAGCACTAAAAAAGGTTTACAGTTTTCAAAGTAAATCGAGACAAACTAAATGAGAAGCAATCAATATGTGTTAAAAAAAACTAAATAAATATACACACATATATAACAAATGTAATTGCCAAAATGGAAAAAAAAATAATTAAACAAAGTAATGGAATATAGGAACAAAACAAACATGTAGAAGAGACCATGGCTTCATTTTATACGTCATTATATAACCCTATATACATATTACATATATCTGCATAACATAAAATCTAGCATTTGCTAAACAACACTACTCCATTCAGCATATAAATAATAACAAACTAAACATTATCCATATTCATACAAATCTTAAGATAATATCAAGTCATTGAGCCATACTCCTTCTCTTCATTCATCACATTCATTCAAAAAAATAAAAATAAAAAAAATCATATATAGTGCACTTGCATAAATACTGGCAAATGTTATTCTCTTTGGAATAAGTAGGCCCATGTTTAGAATTTCCCATAATAGTACGCATCCACTCTCTCTCTATTACACACACATATACATACACACACCCATTTAGAATATACTTACATAATTGTACGAGAATGTTTTTGTAGTTTAGATTTAAGTAAATAACAACCAATATTTTAATGAATGCAAAGCAAACATCTTAAAAAAAACGTAAAAATAAAATAAATTCCAGTTATATAAAAACAAGAACAAAATAAAAACAAATTGAATAAGGACCAATTCGCTCATAATAACAATACTAATAATAAACAAATGAAACAAATAATTTTTACTATTTGAAATAAAATAAGAATTTACTATAATTAAATTTATACATACGTTTAAGCACACTATCAATAAGTAAGAAAATAAAACGATATGACACTTTGAAAAGTTCGGAAGGTGTATATTTGTCTATGCATTGATTTTACGGTAACTTCTAACAGAGGTATAATCATTTGGATATCTTTAATAGTAACAGCAAACTTTAATGTACAAAAAAATACTATGTTTTTAAGATCACTTTGTGGTGACAAATTCAATTTTGTTTTATGTTTAAAATTTGAAAATGCATAAATCAATAAAAAAAAACTTTTTTGTATTGATGTTGCAGTATTACAATTTATAATACAATTTGAAACATACAGTATCCATTTAAACTGAATAGATAAAGAACGTTACATTGAAAATTTTTCTTTACAAAGTGTCATATTTTTTCAACTGTTGATCAGTGTTTAAATCTTACTGATTACATTATAAAACTTTATTTTAATTTTTTTTTTCAAAAACGGCAACTAAAACTTTTTGACGCAAAAGCAACATGACTCAAAGTCTTTTTAAGCTTTCTCATAACTAAGTTTATATTTATTTATCAAATTTATTTTCTTGTTATATATTTTTATAAAATTTAAAATCTCATAATTTGTTAATAATATATTTCCATTGGCAAATACTTTTCATGAAAATTATATTTTTATGTTCAAATATAAAAGTATTTTAGTAATTACTGGTAACATTTTAAAATAAAATGACAAAATGAATATACATATAATATCGTCACCATAAATGTAAAATTTTGAAACGGATATGATTTTTGGTATGCAACATTCTAAAATAGATAATTTTTTCAATGTGTTTTTCGTGTTTCATTAAATTGGACTATAAGGATTTTTAAATATGGCAGTTTCATATTTTTACTTTATGATGCCGATATATAAATGATTTTTAGATAGTAGTTTATACATTTACAATATAATAAAAGAAGTAAAAAATAAAAAAATTAATAAAAAGTTCTAAAGCCTTAGAAATACTAGCGTTTAAGAATATATAAATAAATAAGAAGAAAATACATTAAACCATTGTAATCATTTAAAATACACAACATTATTACACATACACAAAAAACATATACAACAACTAAGTAATTATGTATTTTAGAATGTCATTTGAAAAATAAATAAACAACAAAAAACAACCTATCTAAAATTATTTGTACATTTGTGATTTTTTATGTATATATCACAGAATCTTCATTTTATCTATATATTTATAAAGTAAGTTTTTAATCACAATTGAAAAAAGACAATGATAAATTCCTAGTTATCCTTGTGTTCCCTCCAATATCCTCAAAACCAATCCTTGTGAACATTGGAATCTGTACACATTGTCCTTACTTTCATGCTAAAAGAAAGGTTAGTGTTGTACTTTTTCGCTAGAAGTTTAGTACATATCTTCATATTCAAATCTAAAAAGACAACATATAGAAATAGAGGGTAAGTTGTAGATAAATTGATTTATAATTCATTATCAGGATTGTTAATCCACTATTAATTCATAGATGGCGTCTCTGGTACTAAATGTATTACATTGGATATTGCAAATTGTTCAGCATAACATGAAATAAATAAGAGATATGGTATAACAATGACACAAACTTTGGAATTTTATAATCGTCACTATAGAAGAAAAGGATTTTATAACGACTAGAATAACGAATTTCATAATTTATGTTAGTATTGTACGTGGGGTTTTTCAATGTCCATTATTGTCAAATACGAATAAATGCCGTTGTTTAGAAGGAATATTTAAAGTTATCATAATAATAGAAAGAGATAAAGTAAAAATAAATGTTATTTTCGGACAATATGTACCCATTTCCATTTACATTTTTGGATGACTTTGTGTGATTAGATGATGCTTTGAAATAATATAAACCTTAAAAATTATTCATTAAATACGTGAATTAATTTGTTCATAACGATTCAGTTGGAGGACAATTAGAACTAAGAAAGACCACATTTATCATTTTAGCAAAATCAAAAATGCTGCAAGAGATCCGTCGCGTGAGTGACAGAAAATCTTTCGCAAATAAAGGGTATGCCAAATTTTGAAATTTTGAAAGTGCAATAATAATGCTT